GGAGGGAAGGATACAGTGCATTTGGCCCAACACCTGTTCTTCAGGAATGAACCTCAGTATTGTTAATGTCACAAAGGTAATTGGGTGTTGGCTTACAGAGAAACCCATTAATAGCAACAATTATGTAACCTTGGCAATATCAAGCAAATCACCAACAGTAATATTGTCCAAGACAAACTGGATATTGACATACCATAAGAACCATAATACCACCCTTAACCATATAAAAGAAATCCATAATTATAGTGTAAACACTAAGACAAGCCAGATATTGACATATAGCAAATAGGTACTAAATGCAACAACTGTACTTTCACTAATGATAGAAAGGAATTCAACAGTGATAATACAGATTTAACTATCTAAAGCTTAATAAAGCTTACTGGCTACACTATTAAAGATATAAGAAACTGGGAATGGGAGAATGCAAGAGGAAAATTTTGAAAATTTTAAAAATAGAAGATGAGAAGAGGAAGAGAGAAGTGAGAGAAAGGATTCTGTTAAGGAGCAGAAGGATATTTATAGAATTAGACAAAGATAACAGGAAAAAAAGATAACTAGAAGATAAAAAAAATGGAAGAAAGAAGAAGAAAAAGAAATAATAATGAGAATAAAGATAAAAATGAAAAGAAGGACCGGAGATTTAGCTCAGTGGTGCCACCACCTGCCTCACAAGCGCAAGGTCCTGACTTTGATCCCAGGTACCAAAAAAGAGAGAAAAAATTAAAGGGAAAAAGAAAGAAAAAAAGAGGGAAAAAAAGAAAGAAGGGGAAAAAATAATGGAAAATTCACCAGACCCCAATAAACCAGTGAAGAAGAAAGAGGAAAGAAAAAAGAAAGAATCTAGAAACAAAGAAATTCTCTATACTTTTTAAAATCTCAGTATTTTTGATGAATGGTTTTCTTCCTGTATCTGCAGGTTTGGAGTCCAGCAATGCATGATTTTTTCCACCTAGTCCTATGGCCTGTGGGTTTGTGAGGTGTCCCTCCTCCATCTCAGAGCCCCATCTATTTATCCCAAGCTGTGGCAGTGTCTAAGCAAGAAGTGTCCTCACTTATGCTGGTAGATAAGGAAGGCAGTCAGACCCCAGACCTATGCCAGATGCAGCAGTAGGGCGAGGGCTCGAGTACTCAGTGCCAGCACTTTCAGACCTAGCACAACTCAAACTGGGCCTGGCCTCCTACCATAGGGTTGGGCTCATGTCCTTCCTGGCTCAAGATAAAACCCCTCAGCAGGTATCTTTCCAGCTGCTCCCTATCTGTAGCTGCCTCCCTTGGCACTGTTACCTAGTCACTGTGGGAAGGCAACACTGGGAACCCTGAAGTGAATCCTTCTCCCTACTGTTCTGCATCTCAAATTCAAACAATGAACCCCTTCCCAGAATGTCCTCTGACCAACCACTCTCTGGGAATATGGTAGATGCTTGTGCTGAGGTCCCTATCTGGGTGTTGCCTGCCATGTGGAAGGAGTCCCCTTGGAGTGAAACCTCATGCTGTTCCTGCAGATCACAGCTGTGGACTCTCCCTGGGGCCTGTGTCACCACCCCCAGTCCACTGTCATTTCTCCCCAGACCCCCCAGAGCTAACCTCACTTCTGCAGAGCCAGGCTCTCCTGCCCATGAGCCGTGAGCTGGGAGCCAGGAAAGAGTTTGGACTGATTTGTTTCCTTCTCTGTGTTATGGTCCATCTCTCAAACTTCTCTGTAGCTTTTAATTTTCCTGTTAGTTCCTTCCTGATTACCCTTAATCTACTTCTTTTTTCCTTCCCCAAGTTGTTATTTTCCAGTGTCTGAATTCTGGTGTGGTGAGACCCTTCCTGACATGTGGAAATGGGAACTTTTTACAATGTAATGATATCAGACTCTGCATGTGTAGTTCTGATGTAATTCTGTAACATAAATCATACCCAGCCAGACTGTAGAATGTTAATGTATACCAGACGGTAAAATGTTAGTGTACGCCCATATAAGGGAGACAAAGACACAAAAATTGTATAAAAATACCATGTTGGGCACTCAGCCTTTGGATATGAATCCGCTGGGTCAGTGGTGGTGGGAATAAAGCTGCTTCCTGGGAAAAAGGCCTCGGTGTCCCATCTCTCTACACAAAAATCCCACAGCACTGGATCTGAGAGAGGCTGAATTTTGCTGCTGCTCACCATTCTGTCATCCTGATTCTCCCCTTGGAATTGTTTACTTCTAGAGTTTTCCATTTAATATTTTCAAGTTGCAGTTGACCTCAAGTAACTGAAACCATGGTGGGGGCATTTGCTACTGTATGATACTACATGAAAAACGTTCCAAATGTGGAACAGTATTGTGTTTCTCGGGGTCATACCGAATTTCCACAAATTGAGTAGCTTACAATGACAGAAATGTACTCTGTCAAAGTTCTGGAGGCCGGAAGTTTGAAATCAAGGTGTGAGCAGGGCCACACTCCCTTAGGAAGCTGTAGGAGGGCCCTTCTTACCTCGTTCAGCTTCTGCAGGTGTCTAGTGCAGCTCTTGTCCTGGGCCGCTCTGCCTCCATCTTCACATGGCTTCTGCCCTATGTCTGTATCCGGGTTTTCTCTATCCTTCTCTTGCAGACACAGCATTGAATTCCAGGCTCACCTTAAGTACGAGATGCTTTCCTCCTCGTCTGTCTAACTTACATCTCCACAGTGCCTATTTCTTTTTCATTTTCTTTTCTTTTTCTATCGGGGATCGAACTCAGGACCTTGTGCTTGTGAGGCGGGGGCCGGAACCACTGAGCTAAATCCCCTGGCCCTACACACCCTGTTTCTAAATGAGATCACAGTCATGGGTACAGGAGTCAGGATGGGTATGTCTTTCCTTGGGGGCACTATTCAATCCCCCCAAATACATACTGTGTCCCTGGGAGAGACTGGCAGGCTAGTGGGAAGATATAAATTTTCTGTGATAATATCCAAGATACTAATCGTAATTCTCATCTTTTGGGGCCAACAAATACAGTTTTACTTATTGATTTATTGCTTTGTGACTATTTAACATTTTTTATCTTGTGCATCCTTACTTTATATAAGGTACTGTTCTCTAGCTAGGTGCAATGGTGCACATCTCTAGGCCTAGCATATGGGTGACTGAATCAGGAGGATCACAAGTTCAAGTTCAGTCTGAGCCATTTAGCAACTGAGTGAGACTCTGACTCAGAAAAAGAGAAGGGCTCGGCATGTAGCTCAGTGTGAAGGCTCTGAGTTTAATCTCTAGTGCTTCCGAAAAAAGAAAGTACTATTTTCTCAGTTACCTAGCTTTTAACTGTGTAGATTACTTTCATCTTCTTTGTTTTGGTTTTTGGGTTTTTTTGGTACCGGGGATCGAACTCGGGTCCTTGCACTTGCACAGCAGGCGGCAAAACCACTGAGCTAAATCCCCGGCTATAATGCATATTTTAAAATACTATTTTGTAGTTTTGAAAAATTTATAATTTTCTGTAAGGGAAATAGTCATACCTTGGTCTCTCCCAATACACTGTGACTTCTTTATTACAGAGAGTAGTGAAAGAAAATTTAATTATGGAAGACCATGTTTATGTGTCAGTTCCTGTCAAGTGGATCTAAGGATTTAAACCACTCCTAAACAAAATTCCAGCACTTTTTTTTTTCTTTCAGTACTGGGGATTGAACATAGGATCTTTGCACTGGGCTATACTGCCAGGTCTTTCTTCATTCTTTATTTTGAGACAGAGTCCTCCTGCGTCAGCCTGGCAGAGTTCTGGGGTTATAGGTGTGCACCACCATGCCCGACTTCCAGCATCTATTTTTTATTTTTATTTTTTATTTTTCAGTACCAGGGATCAAACTCAGGACCTTGTGGTTGTGAGGCAGGCGTGGTGCCACTGAGCTAAATCCCCAGCTGGCATCTGTTTTTTAAAGGAGAAGGAAGAAGGGAGAGAGGGAGGGTAGAAGGAAGACAGAAGAAAGGGAGAAAGGAAAGAAAAAGGAAGGAGGGAATTGACAAGCTATTTCTAAAACGTGTAGAGAAAAGCAAAGGACCTGAATTATTAGAACCTCAAAAAATAACAGAGAAGACTTACACAGCCTTATTCCAAGACTTACTATAAAGTTACATAATCAGTCAGGTGGTTTGATGTGGGGTAGACAAATACCATTCACGAAGCAGAAAAGAGAGCCCAGAAATAGACCATTATGCACACATTGTCATTTGATTGTCAGAAAGACACCAAAGAAGATACCAGAGACAAATGTCTTTCGACGAGAGGAGGTAGCTAGACAGCTGGTTATCCATACAGATGGAAAAAGACCCTGGCCCCCAACTCACGTGCGGTGTCAAAATTAATTTAAGCCACTCAGATCTAAATGCAAAAGCAAGAATGCTAACACTTGTAGAACTATCTTTGCAACTTTTATATTGGCAAAGCTTTCCCAGGTGATACTTAAAAAGCACTATTTCTTAAAAATAAGCAAATTTGACTTCACCAAAATTAAAATCTGTGCTCATCAAAATATATCTTTTTTTTTTTTTTTTTTGGTACCGGGGATCGAACCCAGGTCCTTGCGCTTATGAGGCAGGCAGTGGAACCACTGAGCTAAATCCCCGGCCCTATCACATTATATCATTAAGCTGAGCAAGCTAGTTTATGCCTGTAATCCTAGCTACTCAAGAGGCTGAGGCAGGAGAATTGCAAGTTCAAATCTAGCTTGGGCAATTTAGTGAGACCCTGTCTCAAAATACAATTTTTAAAAAGGGCTGGGGATGTAGTTCAGTGGTGGAGCGTTTGCCTAGCATGGATGAAGACTTGGTTCCACCCCCAGCACCACACACACACACACACGAAGGCCGACAAGCATGTGGAGCAACTGAAACCCTTGCGTATTACTGGTGGGAGTGTAAGGGACGCGATGCTTTGGAAAGCAGTTTGGCAGTTTCTTAGAAGGTTAAACACACATCTACCAGATGAGATGAGCCACAAGTTCCATTGAAAGGAAAAGAAAATATATTTCTACAAAGGGACTTGTTCGTATAATGTTCATAGAGGCTTTAATTCCTATCAGCCCTAAATCAGAAGCTACTGAGATGTCCATCAGTGACAAAATGGACGCTCACACTGTGGTCTCTGCAAAAGTGGAACTTGACTCAGAGATGACAGGACAGGTCCGGACTCCTGCCGGAACCCGGGGGCAGCTCCAAAATGTCCCACTGGGCCTGAGCTGGGCAGCAAACAGCACTCACCTCGAACACTCGAGGCCCTGGCTTCTGTCCTCAGCACTGCAAAAAAACCAAAACAAAAAAATCCTGCTAAGTGAAAGAAGGTTGGCACAAAAGAACATCCACTTTCTAATTCCGTGTGTATATGAAATTGCAGCCCAATCCAAATATACACAGTAAAAGAAATTGTGAAGCAGTTGCCACAGGCTGTGAAGGGTGTGTGGGTTGTGGGAGTGTTTCCTGTCTTACTCACGGTTGGGATTCCGCAGGTCTATGCATTGGTCAAAACCCCCCTGCGAAATATGTAGGGTCTCTGTGTGTTACTCTATGTAATTATGCCTCGCTTTCAGAGAAGTTAAAAGAGAAAAGAATAAATCTGAAAATGCATGCAAAACACAGTAGTTATGATGGTTTTATTATATGTTAGTGGTCAAAAATTTACTAAAAATTTTTTTAGGGCCGGGAATTTAGCTCAGTCGTTCCACCGCCTGCCTCGCAAGCACAAGGGCCCGAGTTTGATCCCCGGTACCAAAAAAAAAAAAAAATTATTGCTTTGGACAGTAAAAAACTTAACTACATAATGTCCAGGTAGCTGCCTTTTTAGCCATAAGAGAGTTTCTTGGACAGTCCCAAAGGTCTGGGCCGGCCACATGGCCCAGTGATGCCGCCTGCCTGGCAAGCTCAAGGGCCTGAGTTCGATCCCTGGTACTGGAAAAAAACAAAGGCAAAGGTCCAAGGGGCCCTCCAAAGAAATTCTCCTAAGATTATACATTAGAATTTTAATTCTTAGCAGCTTTATGAAGAAAGCAATCCTAAGCACTTATATGTTAATATTTTGTGAAAACACATTTAATAGAACCAAATCTCTTTTTTATCTTAAGCCAAGAATACTTGAATTTAGTAAATGACTCAGATTGTGGTTATGAATGTTTGTAGTCATTAATCCCATTTATATTTACTAACTCATTTTAAAAATTAGTTTACAGTATTTATGAGAATCAATATATTAGACTAGCATAGTTAACATTTTAAGCTATATATGATTTTTAAATATTAATTTTATTGGTATGCTTTGGATATACATAATGATCACATTCACCATAGGGAATTTGTACCTGTACACAATATACCTTGATTCTTCTTTTTTCCCAGTTTCTCTCCCCTCCCTTCAACCTTTCTTCCCCTCCTTATTTATAAAATCTTTGTTTCCATTTTTTCCTTCTATTCTCATTTCCTGTCCTTTAAAAGTTTCACCCTGTCTCACTGCTGACATTCATTGCTCCAGGCTGTTAGCAGATGGTGGTGGGGTCTTTCTTTTAGTGGACCCTAGGGGCGGGAATTTAGCTCAGTGGTTCTACTGCCTGGCCTCTTAGCCTGGAGCAGAACCTCATTTCCCCTCTTACACTATCTTCTTTATTTTTGGATTCTTTTTTTTTTTTTGGTACCGGGGATCAAACTCGGGTCCTTGTGCTTGCGCAGCAGGCAGCGAAACCACTGAGCTAAATCCCCGGCCCATATCTTATTTTGTTTTGTTTTGTTTTTTTGGTACCAGGGATCAAACTCGGGACCTTGCGTTTGTGAGGCAGGTGCCAGAACCACTGAGCTAAATCCCCGACCCTCATATCTTATTTTTAAAAAATATATTTATTATGTCAAGATTGTAGGATATTGGGCCCAGGATTTAGCTCAGTGGTGCCACTGCCTGCCTTGTAATCCCAAGGGCCTGAGTTCGATCTCCAGTACCAAAAAAAAAAAAGATTGTAGGATATTCATCACTTATGTTATTTACATTAGTTTGAAGTTATGCCTTTTTGTGAAATTTTGAGGAGGCAAAGTTGAAATTCCTTGATTTCACCCTTGCCAGATGAAGATGATTTTCAAGTAGGAGCTTTTTTTTTTGGTTTTTGGCTTTTGGTTTTTGGTGGGGTTTTTTGGTACTAAGGATTGAACTCAGGGCCTCACACTTGCCAGGCAGGTGCTGTACCACTGAGCTACATCCCTGACCCTAGAAACTTTTTTTTCTTGAAGTCCATGGTTTCAATGGAACAAAGGACTAAAATCGATTACAGGTTTAATTTTTTCAAGTCATGAAGGCCAAATGAAAAAAATAATTCTATAAAGACTAAAATTATAATACAATCTTTTAGGCAGTCGTATACATTTAGCTCACACCTCTTCTGATCACAATACATGTGCCCCAGCCCTGCCCTGTCAGTGCTGGTCTCTGCGTGTCTTGGGTGACAGCTGCCTGTGGACCCTGAACAAGACCCTAGCTTCCTGCCACTGGTGGCTTCCATGAGCCTCGGTTCAGTCAGGCGCAAGCTGCGATGTGTGGAATGGTGACCCCCAGAATGACATCCCCTGGTGTCCCGTGCAGTGGCCTTTGGAAAAGGGTCTTTGCAGAGGTAACTGAGGGGCTGGGTGTGGTTCAGGTAGAGCACTTGCCTAACATGTTCCAGACCCGAGTACCATCTCCATCACTGGAAAAAATAAACAGCTGGGCATGGTGGTGCACACCTGTAATCCCAGGGCTTTGGGAGGCTGAGGAAGGAGGATCTCAAGTTTGAGTTCAGCCTGGGCAACTTAGCAACTTAGTGAAACCCTGTCTCAAATTAAAAGACAGTTGGGTATGTAGGTCAGAGTGAAGGCCTTGGGTTCGATGCCCAGTACCTCAGAAAAACAAGAAACAAAAAACCCCCAAACAAAATAAAAAATAGATGTGATTGAGGTAGGATTGGGAGATGAGGTCATTCTGCATTAGGGTGGCCCTATATCCCATGCCTGGCATTGCTGTGAGAAGAGGTGGACAGAGACAAACTCTGAGCCCCAGGGGCTGGAGGTGAGCAAGGCCTGTGTCTCCCCTTGGAGCCCAGGAGCAGCCGGGCCTGCGACCCTGTGGTTCCAGGCTGGTGTAGGGGACACAAGGAAGCTGCTGTACTTTGGATGGGGCGGCCCCTGGGAGTGGCCGCACTTCCTCAGGCTGCCTGAGGGCCGGGAAGGGGGCTGGGGCCCCAGACTTGGGGTGTCCTTGCTTTCAGTGGCTGCTGGGAATGAGTGAACCCGGAGTGTGTGGCCTCTGGATGTCAGAGGAAATCAGAAGGGACACGGAGCAGGGCTGCCTGCTCCACCTGCGCCTGTGATGGGGCCGGAGCATGAGCTGCTGTGACTCAAATTACGGATAAATTTGACCAAAGAAAGAAAAACCAGTGTGGGGGGACGCTGTGGGATAGGATTCGAATCCACTTCCTTGGTGGAAGCCCTCGGCCCCGGCAGGCCTAGCTACTGGTTCACGGCAGGTGGGCTGGTGTGGCACGGATGCCAGGGCAGCGGACCTCCTCGGGCTGCAGCCCCAGGCCAGGCCGGCAGCCTCCCGCCTCTGTCTTCAAGCGGGAATTCCCTCCCCACGGCTCTCCTCTCCTCAGAGTTTTCCAGGGCAGGATGGTGAGGGACGATGGCCATTCATCTGCTCCCTCTGCCCACGTCCGCAGAAGGAAGAATGCATCAAGGGCGACTTCTGTGAGATTGGGTGGGCACTTGAGCCAGGGAGAAGCTGCCACCGGGCTCCCAGGAGTGTGGTCACTAGTGTAGTTGTCACTGCAGACAGACAGAAGCCAGGTGGGATGAAGCCAAGGCCGGGTGCGTAGGTCGTGGTCTGAGGGATTGCGGCTTCCTGGCTGTGGCCCCCAGACGGCAGGCTGCACCTTGCTGGCTACATGCATGGATGCATCTGGTGGGGGTTCCAGGCAGTGTTGTGGCTGCCCCCAGGCATGCTGTTCTTAAAATCCCCAATTGTCAATTAAGAAAAAGAAAGAAAGAAAAGAAAAGAGCTAGGTATGGTGGTGACACCTGTAATCCCTAGGTCTTCCTGGATCTCAAACATGTTGTTGATTTAACTTACTGTGGGCTGGACTCTGCCAGGTGTGGTGACGCCCCTGCGGGGCAGCTCAGGGACTGCCAGCAAAGATGCCCACAGAGGTGAGGCTGGTGGGAGAGACTCAGGGCCTGAGGTGGGGCAGGAGGTGGAGAAGCCGCAGCCAGTGAGTCGTGGGCTTGGTGGTTTCTGCCTTGCCCCTCCCGGAGAGGCAGTGGGGGAGTTGGAGCTGGACTGCCCAGCGTCCTCTGCCATGGGACATCCTCGTGGTCCTGCGGCCTGGGAAGAAGAGCGAGCAGGTCACCTGAGTCAGGCTATGTGCGGGGGCCAGTACGGACTGAGATTGGGCGTTCCAGGAGACAGTCTGTCTCAGAAAGCCGGCGGCCCTCATCTCTAACCGTGTGTGAGTCTCCATGGCCAAACATCTCACCCTTTCAGTTTCACGCTGCCTACCGGAAGGCCCACGTGTGTTTCCTGCTCCTGACTCGAGTTGCCGGAAGCACCCCAGGAGGATCACTCTGAGTGCAGCCAGCCTCCCTTCTGGCCCTGACATCTGATTCCTCCAGCCGGAAACCTCCCTTGCCTGTAATGTCAGTGTTTTGCTTTCTTTGATTTTTGTATTAGCCTTTGATTTTTCTTGGTTTAGAAGGCACCCTCTCCAGCCGTGGATGGTCAAGGTAGCTGCTGTGGATACCCGTCCTGTCCTCACCCTTGTCACTGAGCCAAGCACTGGCCTGGCCAGTGACGACTGTGTCTTGTAGGTTTCCAGGGGGCAGGTTCACCCGGTGTCGGAGCAGGGTGGTGGTTCTAGGCCCGCAGGTCCTCAGTGAATGTCAGCATCCCTTTTACAAGCCTGGGAGGTCGTCAGGGAGCGTTCGGGGAAGTGGGCCCCATGTACCTGGGTGGGATGCAGTGGCTTTGGTGTTTCCAGAAAGTTATTCTTTGCTGAGGTGATGCTAGCTCCTTGCCACAAGCCCTTTTATTAGGTGATTCCTCATCTAGGGAATATCTTAAGGGATAAGAAAACAATCTTCGATGCACAGGAACTGACTTGTGTACCAACTCACTGCAGTGGCATGTGAGTGAGCTGGACAAGCCCCTGTCCACCAGGAGGCGGTGCCAGGGTGAGGGGACTAAGAGGAAGTCCTCACCAATCCATAGAACTCAAGTTTTAGGTTTTAAGAGACAAAGTAGAAACCTTCATTTGTCACAGTACATAAAAAGGTGTGTTAGGAACGTATGTATAGCATGGTTTCAATATTATTTTAAAAAGTAAAGGGCCAGGGATTTAGCTCAGTGGTTCCACCACCTGCCCCGAAAGTGCAAGGTCCCAAGTTCAATCCCCGGTACCAAAAAAAAAAAAAAAAAGTATACAGATGTGCATAGAAAGACATAATAAAAATACTTAAGTGCTTGCTATTGCTGGGATGTGAGAGTAAAATTAATTAAGAAAATTGTTTTGGAAACAGGGACTCACTCTGTACTTCAGGCTGGCCTTGAGCTCACTCTGTAGCCCAGGCTGGCCTTGAGCTCCTGGTGATCCTCCTGCCTCAGCCTCTCGAGTGCTGGGATTACAGGCGTGCGCCACCACGCCCAGCTCCGTTTTCACATTTCTGGAGTGTCTGTGGCTATTCTTCGACTGTATCCGTCCTCCGTGACCTGTGCTTTCGCGCCTGTGTCCCCTTGCTCCTCCCATTTCCTTCCTCTTGTACAGTAATAGTAAAGCTGCTGTTACTTTTTTTTTTTTTTTTGTACTGGGGATCGAACTCGGGTCCTTGCACTTTTGGGGCAGGTGGTGGAACCACTGAGCTAAATCCCCAGCCCCTGCTGTTACATTTTAATAAGAGTCACAGCTGATCAGCTTTTTAATTCATGGATTGTTTCTTCCAGTGCTGGGAGTTGAACCCAGGGCTTTGTGCATGCTAGACAAGCACTGTACCTCTGAGCTACACCCCAGCCCTATTTGTGGATCTAACACAGGAAGGTAGCATTAAAATAATGCAGCTAGTAATAAGGGTTAGAGAAGAGGGGGGTGCTAGTTGGGAGACCCCCCCTTTATAGCTCAAGCTAGTGTGAGTTGGGTTCTGCCCCTTCCAGTATCCTGAGACCACATTTTCATCTCAGCTTCCCACACACCATTTGAAAGGCTTGTTTGTGTCCTGGGCCACAAAGAATATCAGTGTCCACAAGTGGAGCCCGTGGGGCCATCCGTGAGCACAATGCAATGAACAGAAGATAGGGGGTCAAGGAAACATCCGAGCAGAAGGTATAGGAGTGTCCAAAATGTGTGTTTGGGCCACAGTCCCCCAAAATGCAACTGGGCTCATCCAAGTCCTGCATGTTGGACTCTCAGAAGATCAAAACTCTTAATGTCTACAGCCTAGAAAGAAGGGCCGGGGATTTAGTTCAATGGCACCGCACCTGCCTCGAAAGCACAGAGTCCTGAGTTTGATCCCTGGTACAAAAAATCAAAAACAAAAAAACTAGAAAGATAAAAATTCCAAAACTCTAATTCTGGAGAAAAAATTTAAATTCTTTTAAAGATATTTATTTACATGTTCAAAAGGACACTTGTTTGAGAAACACAAAAAGACAACAGAATACTTCTGAGGCCACTTTCCACAATAAAATAGACAAGCCAGGCCTAGTGGTGCAGGCTTGTAATCCCAGCAGTCTGGAAGGCTGAGGCAGGAGGGTTTCACAGTCAAGACCAGTCTGGGTAACTTTAGTGACTCTGTGAGAGAGACTCTGCCTCAAAATAAGAAATAAAAAGGACTGGGAATGTAGCTCAGTACAAAAGGCCCTGCGTTCAATCGCCGGTATCCTCCCCCCAAAAGGCAAAATGTATGAACACATGTCGCCATGACTGGTAATTGTGGGACGCAGATGCACAGGCGGGGAGCCTGTGTGCAGGTGGAGGCCGAGAGGAGGGCCCCGAGTCTCAGTAAAAGACCAAAGAGTGAGGAGTGCTGGCCCCCACCTTCCCGGACCGCGAGCCGTGCACCCCGCTGCAGCCTGGACTAGACCTTCCATCTCCCTGCCCAGTTCCTTGTCTCCATGCCTGCTCGAACATCCCAGGCCCCAAACAAAAGGCTCCATGCAGAGAAATACACTATGTCCACCCACATTCTTTCCTTAATTTTGGCAGGGATTTGGGGTATAAGTTAAGAGATTTTTGATTTGCCCAGTTATTTGCCTAAGTGGACTAATGTGGGATAAATCTACAGGATGACAGCGATTTCCGGATAAACATCACTGCGTCCTAAAATGTCCAAGGAAAAAAGCTTCCTCGTTCAGATGTCAGCCCGCTTTCATTTCCATTCTAACATTTCTGCTTTACCCGGGGAATTATGCAAAGCTTCCGACTGCATGAAGGTCCAGGGGACCACTGTGTAACTGATTTCTTTCCCAGGAGAATTAAGGGTGATTTTGGGGTGGTGGGGGCTGGCAACCATGACGGGCTGGGAGAGAGGCCTGGACAGAGTCGCCCTCAGCGCCTCAGAAGGCTCCGGGCCTGCAGACACCGTGACGACGTAGCACCTCTGGGCCCCAGCACCCCTGAGACACAAGTCTGTGTGGCTGTGAGCCCCGGGTGGGGACTCACGACAGCAGCTTTAGGACACTCCTCTCCTCAGCATGTGGGAGTTCAGATGCTATACCCAGGACGATCCAAAGCACACAGGCGTGGCCGGTTAGCATGGAGTGTCTGCCACATTATCTTTTACTTATTTGTAATTGTTTTGGGTGTTTTTTGAGACAAGGTCTTCACCTTAAAAACTTATGTGCATCGCCCCGAGACGAGACCCGCCCCCCTCCCAAGGAGAGAGACCCCAGCAGCAGCAGCAGCAGCAGCAGCTGATGATGAAGAGAGAGGGGGCGGGGCGCGGGGGGCTTTTATTTCTATTTTAAAGGGACAGGGCATTAATTTTACCCCACTTCAACCTTGAATTGAGGGGGGGTGGGGGGAGGTGGCTGAGTTCCTCCTCCACCCTCCAGCCCTGAGCCCTGAGGGGGAGACTGAGCCTGAGAGAGGAGAAGGAGTTTCTTCTTCTTCTTCGAAAACCCCCATCTACAACTTCTACCCCTCACCCCTCTACGTGCCTCCTTCTCTTTGGCCGTGAGAGGAGGAGAGAAAGAAACCGCAAGCCTCTTAGCACAGACCTTTTGCTGCTGCTGCTTGGCCCTGGCTGGAGACATCTCAGCAAGGCCAGGAGCAGCCACTTCCCCAGCTCTCCCCCCTCCCCTCCCCCTCCCCCTTTATACCCTTTGTGTCATCCTCCACAGCTCCAGGGAGGGCACTCAACAGTGGGGGACAGGACAGACAGTGACCAACTTTCCAGTTTTCTGTGGATATGAAGATTTACTCCTAGTCATCACTGGGACCCCATGAAGTCAGCCGGAAAGCCTGCGTCCAACTCATGTACCTTTGCAGATGTGTCCCTATTTGGAATGTATATGAATAGTAGACTATGCTTAGCTTTCATTAAACATATGTGGAGCGTCTACTGTCTGTCAGGCACTGTGTTAGGGTGAAAAACAAGAATAGTCCCCATAATTTATTGTGAAGTGATTTTTAATTTGTATCCACAGTATATTGGTTATATCTATATTTTGGTTTACCTAAATACATTTTTTTATAGACTAAAAAGGTGGGGAAAATGTATATTTAAGAAGGATATTGCTGTATTTTATTAAAATAGAAAAATATAAAGAAAAAATTTCATTTAATACTGTATTCTGGGCATTTCTATTCTTTATATAGTTCACTAATTTTAGACTATGAAAATAGTTGTGGCTACCATTGCTGGAATTTTACTGTGCTAATCATAATTCTTCTTTTGAGAAGATGACCCACGCACTGCATTAAATTTTTTTCACAAAAAAAGAAACTTGCATTGATGGTCACCAGGAAGAACAGTGAGGTGACATATGAAATGGTAGGAGAAATGTGCAAATCATGTATCTAATATGCAGTTAGAAGTTATTTCATGAAACAAAGTCTGTTGAGTGCATCTTTATGGCTCTATCTTTGCTTGTTGCCAGCCACTCAGTAGGAGCTGGGAGAAGGATTAAGAAGAAACTGGGGTGTGCCGGACATGGAGAGGGACGTGGATATTTCACAGACTGCAGGTCTGTGGCTGGGAAAGTGGTGCATGATTATATTCCAAATACAAGGGCAAACCTCAACTAATATTTTCATTCACATTTAGCCCACAGGCTGAGGCAAGAAAATTTGTTTTTTTGTTTTTTGGGGGTTTTTTTTGATACCAGGGATTGAACTGGGTCCTTGCGCTTATGAGGCAGGCAGCGGAACCACTGAGTTAATCCCTGGCCCTGTATTTTTTATTTTTATTCACTCATTTTCTTCATTCAAAAATACTGTTTGAACAACTACTACATGCCAGCACTCTCTGATGACGGAAAAACAACAGATAATGTTATGGACAATCTTTGGGTTTTAGTTCTCGATGTTCTCTTTTGTGAGTGTCTTTAGTTCTACTGTTGTGGCTGCCTCAGTGTTCTGAATTGATTCAAAATGTTTACCTTTCATGGTCATTTTGGCTTTGGGAAAGAGCCAGAAGTTGCTCCGTGACAGATCTTGTGAATAAGGTGAATGAGGATACACTGTCATTTTTTGGCATTATGTTTTTATGGCCTGCCTTTGGGTTTGTATGGCATTTGGCAGGAGCATTCTCTGCATTTTTGAGCACACCACGAAAAGCCACGGGAGAGGACTTCCAGAACTGCTTCAGAGAGTGAACAGTGGAACATGTATGTTTGAAGCAAAGGGGCCTACTTTGAGGGGCATTAAGTGGCAGTGTCTTTTACTGTAATAAATTTTTAAAAATTTAAATGTTCACTATACTTTCTGATCACCCCTTATATGTCCAAACTCAGCAATATGCATGCATTAAGTGTGTGTCCTTTTCTGTTCAGTTATAACTCAGTAAAGTTTAAAAATGGAAACAAGTGGGAAGAAATGCACCTTCAGAGATGTAAATACTGCTGTTTAGATGTCATGCTGTCGTAAGTGGTTCAACAAGTTCTGATCAAGATTTGAGCTGCTTTTATTGCCCAAACTGACACAATGATCTTAAAATTCATATGGAAATGCATAGGACCAAATGTAGAAAAAATTATCGAAAAACTACAAGGTTAGAGGACTCACTTTCCAATCTAGAAACCTACTATAAAGCTACAGTGTTCAAGACCACAGGGTACTGGAATACAAATAGACAGGGATCAATGGAATAGACTGAGTCAGGAAAGAAATCTGCACATTTATGGTCAGTTGATTTTCTTTAAGAATGAAATTTTTTATTTTAAAATATATTTAACAAAAATACTCCATAGTTTTACATATTTTACATCTGTAGAATATTTACAAATTCGCTTCCACAGCATTTACTTAATGTTTACTATTCTTTCCATTATTTGCCTTTTGGCCTATTTCCTTCAGTAGGAAAATACTGTCCAGTGTCCTCTGTAACTAAAAAATGAGCTTCTTGGGCAATTCTCCTTATTCCAAGGCCTCTGTCCTTTTCTGTTTTGCCACCATGGCTGGGTTTGCCTGCTCCTTTAAGACTTCTACTGGACAGTTGGGTCTGGGCAGCTGACACCCAGGTGCTGGCCCTGGCCGATTACTGAAGTATGGAGTTTTTAATGCCTGTGTGGCTGTAATTCGAGTACATGGATTAAACAGGAATAAGCCTCGTATGAGATCTAGCAAGTCATCTCCTGCTGCACTGAAGATGTGTTGCAATGGTGTCGGGAGCAATGCTACATAATTTTAGGGTAAAATCATTTGGTTAGCCTAGTTCTCCTGCCTACAGCCCAGCTACGGAATAGCTCCATTTTGGCCTCCGGTCACAACTGTGACCTCAGTGATCCGGTGATGCTGTGGTTCTCCAGGACAAGAAACATCCTGGGAGCTGAAAACATCCTGGGAGAACAAACATCTACTCAATTCCTCATTGTTCTTGGACTGTTACGATCTTGTTTACTCAGGATGTACTGAACTCTCTGCAAGTCACTTGTTACATTTGTTTCTCCCCATGTACTGAATAAAAGGTGTGGTAAGCTGGGGGCTTTTGTCTTTGCTGCCCAGAGCAGCACTGATCAGACCCAAAGCTCAGCTTCTTCTCAGTCTCATTTTTCTACCTCTCCTGTAATTTGCCTTGTGCTGTCGTGGCTCACAGGAGACTAGGACTTACTGCAGAGGTTCTAGTAATGTCCCCTTTCCCTGTTCCCTACACAATGGGATCCCAGGGAAACTCCTGAATGTCACATAATCTGGTAGACTACACATGTTAGGCTATCGTTCCTCAGTTGGTGTGCCCAGAGTTTCACATATTCTTGTAAGTTGATCAAGATCTGAGTCTCGTGGCAAAAGGAAGCCCTAGAAGCAACTCTGCTAATATTCAGCCAGCAGCCCACCTGCCCACACCCACTCCATATATCCTCGGTCCAAACAGTCACTCAGGTGCCTGGTTCCATCTCTTCATTGTCTGGGTAATTTGAAGAATTCTCTGTTCTTCCCATGTCCAATGTGTCCTCTCATCCTCTCTTCTCTTCACTCAGGCTCTCATCTCCACACTCTCTCGTCAGTCATAAATGAGGTCCAATTCTCACAGTTCTCACCTGGTTACAACCTGATGTGTATAAGCTCTGCTGGGGCTCCCAAATGATTTGGCCAGGCCAAAATCTGCCAGTTTTAGAACTCCATTTTCATCCAACAACAAATTGTTTGGTTTCAGATCCCTATGTAGAATCCAATGTTGATGTAAATATTCCAGTCCTTGAAGAGTCATCAACATGTATGCTTTAATGTGTGATGGTGTCAGCACAAGACTATCATCCTTTATTATAATCTCTAAATCAGTTTCCATGAAATCAAAGACAAGGCTAATAGATTTATGTCCAAAAGCATCAAGGAGCTGGAACAATTCACTTTCCTGAGGCTTCAATCAACATCTACCATGTTCAAAAAGGCAGGATCCCAAATATCAAACAATTTAGATCCTACTCACACCAATTATATTTGGATGACTTAGCTCCTGTAATAATTTTATCTCTCTTAAGGCTATTCTATTTATACTTTTTTTTTTTTGGTACCGGGGATCGAACTCGGGTCCTTGAGCTTGCACAGCAGGCAGCGAAACCACTGAGCTAAATCCCCGGCCCTATTTATACTTTCTTAATGGCGATGATCTGATTGGTGTTCTTGTCTCTGGCCTTGTAAACCATGGCGAATTGTCCCTCCCCGAGGAAGTCCAGTTTCTCATAGCGCTTTGCTCAACACTTCACGTGTACAGCCGTTCCATACACAAAGTCCAACTTCAGTCAAAAAAAGCGAGTGTGCTGGACAGTAAGAATTTAGAGCTGCCTGAGAGTCTCTAACAAACACTTCCGCTCACTGGGTGCAGTCATCTAGGAGTTCTGCCCCACTTCCAGGATGGGCCTGGTCACTTGATTTTCAACCAGGGCATCAAAGCCCTTCGGAGGGAGAGTAGTCTTTTCCACAAATTGTATTGTGATTACTAGATACATAATGCAAAGAATGGAGATGCCTCTCTACCTCACAACAAATGTAAATAATTAAAAATGGACCAGTCTTAAATAGAAGAGGTAAACAATCAAAATCTCAGGGGTAAAATAAGCAAATGATAACCATTAATCTTTGTAATCCTAGATTTGACTGTGGATTCTTAGATATGATACCAAAGGCACAGGCCACAAAAGAAAAAATAGATAAAGAAGATTTCATGGAAAACATTTGTGCCTCAGAAAACACTATCAAGAAATAGATGAGTATATCCTACAGAATGGAAGAAAGTATTTGCCAGTCACCATCTGTTAAGGTCAAATATCTTGAATATATAAAGAACACTGACAAAAGCCAAATCACCATTTTTTTTCAACAAAATGTTTTCAAAGATACTGCTCCAAAGAAGATAAACTGCTGATAAGCAGTATGTTCAGAGCCACTAGCCGTTAGGGAGATGCAAATCAAAGCCACCTCAAGAAACCACTTCTTACCCACTGGGATGACCACGATGAGAAAGAAATTTTTGGCAATGGTTTTGAGAAATGAGAATCTTCATCCATTCCTCGTGCAAATATAACAAAGAAAACAGTTGGGAAATTCCTCAGAAAGTTAAAGTTACCAAACAGTGCAGGGATACTACTCCCAGGTATACACCCAGGAGAATTTTTGAAATGTTCACACAAAATCTTGTATGTGAATGTTTGCAATAGCAAAATAGTCAAAATAATACCCAAAAGGTGTAAATAACATTTGACATCTTCCTGATAAAGGAAGATGCCCAAATCATGACTGCCCGGGAAAACTTTGGAAGTCCTGACCGCTAGGTGCCCAGGGAACTGCCCGAATCAGAGAGTGGATGGCACGTTTGCAACACCACGAGGCTGACTGTGTAGAGAAAGTCGCCCTGTTCAGACGAGGGATCGGAGAAACCAGCACCGCCCAGTGGCGGAGGGCGAGGGTGCTTGTCCCCGACAGCCGGGTCAGAGCCACGTGTGGCTGCAAGTGTTACCTGCCCGCCCCGATGGAGAAACGTCAACAGCACCTGCCGATTGTTTATCATGAGGCTGAAATGAATAAACACAGACAAGACCTGAAGAAAAGCCACTGGTGCTTGTGGAGGGCCCCAGCCATGACGTGTCCGGCAGAAAGAGCAGGACTTGGGGCAGTGCGGCCCCAGAGAGGGGACATAGTAAGCGACAAGTCCGGGGAAGTGGTGGCTCCTTCCCTACCCTGGCGGGGCTGAGGGGTCTGAGGCTTCACCGCTCTCAGAAACCACTTCACGTCTGCGGGGAGGTGGTAGAGCAGGGCTGGGACTCCCATTGTATGGGTCCGGGCCCTACAGTTCAGAGAGAGGAAGGGACTGGCCTAGAGCCACAGCACTGAGTGGGGATGAGTCTGAGGCAGCAAATGTAGTTGGTTCCCGAGGGACAGAGATCCCCGAACCTCTGCACACACTAGATTATGGCCCGGATGCTGAGCGCCGACCAGTGCACTCCTTTCCCAATTCCTCCTGCCCCAGAGTGGCTACAGGGCGATGCTCGGCAGAAGTGCTCACCCCAGGTTATGGCCCCAATCCTGCCTCAACTCCTGCCTCTACGTTTCAATCTGTGACCCCAGGGCAATGCCTTTTCACCAGAAGCAGCCCGGCTGAAGGCTCAGGGAGTCCAAACTCCCCTTTACCCCAGCACGGACCCCTGTGGTCAGGTGTCCGTGCTATGTAACTGCCCAACTGCCTCAGAACTCAGAACGTTTCAGACCAACTGCCCAACTGCCTCAGAACTCAGAACGTTCCAGACCAACTGCCCAACTGCCTCAGAACTCAGAACGTTCCAGACCAACTGCCCACCTGACAGTGGTATAAATAGCTTCACCCAACTGACAAATCTAGATGAACAAGTTGACTGAGGGCTAGGAAGGTGGCCACCTGAAGGGCTGGGGTGTAGATGGTTTAGTGAAAGTCTTGTAGGCTCTGGGTTGACTCCTAAACATCTGAAAAGGAGGATGAGCAGCTGGACCAAGGCCTGGCTGTGGCTGGGTAGTACTGTACTTGCTCTTAGATGGCACCTTCCTGCTCAGACCCTTCCTCCGCAGACTCCAGTCCTCTGTGCATACATCAGCCACTCCTGTCTCCGAATCCTGCTTCACTGTTGCAGAATGGAGGCTGCAGGGCAGCAGTTAGGGCAAGAGGTCTGTGGCTCATGCCCGTTTTGGTGCTGCAGAACCTCCGCTGGGCACAAGCAGGTGGTTTCCTTGGCCCCAGTTCCCTTTTCAGTGTGTCTTGTGTTGGAAAGTTTTGCCCTGCTTTTTCTTGGACCCTTGAGTTTCCATGGGGAAAATACATAGCACGTGGGGCCATGTTTCCATTTTGTTGCTCGAATCTGTGGGAAAGAAAGAATCCTCCTTCTGTAGGTGCCACTTCTGTACTCTTGTCCTCCTCGTCCTCGGGAGGAGCTGAAGCGGGCTGAGGGAGAGGGCTCTTATAGTGGGTGCAAGCGTGAAGTACCCCACGGGTGACGGGGCGCAGCTCCATTGGGAGGGGCAGTGGGGACCTGAGAGGTGGCTGATGGCCCGGGCCTGCTTCTTTGTCTCGTGCTGTACTGCTCCATGGCACGTGTGGAGCAGCCTGGGAAGTGCCTGGTGCACTAAGTGCACACAGGAGCCCAGACCTCCAGTGTGCGGAGGCCTGGGCCAGATGAGGGGTGGCTTCCTCTAGCGAGGAGCGTGGCTGGCTGGGTTGGTGGTTTGTGCCCAGTCACAAGTTGTGGATGGGGGATGGCCACTTGGCAGCCTGCACGTGCACGTGACCTTTGTAGCACAGGAGGGGTGTCTGCTACTGCCCGTGACCCCCATAGGAGGATGGGGTGCATCTCTGTGTGGTCAGTTGAGTGTCTTTCTGCTTATTGACCAAGGCAGTGATCTCTTGGACTGAGGCTCCCTCAGGTGGCTCTAGGACATCTGGCAGGTCCCCGCCTGTGTCTGAGTCCTTACTGTTATCCTTGGTGTTGGACCTCTTCTTGGCTCCTCCCACCGTTTGAGGACTCAGCACGATTTCTTGGACTCCCAGCTCTCCCACCCCAGAGAGATAAGAGATTGAGGTCATGGGACAGGGCACAGTGTGCAGCCACAGCTCCCACCTCTTGCATCCTGGGCCCGTGTGGGACTTGGAGGGAAGGGAGGGGTCGTGGATGTAGCCATGGTGAGCAAGGGAGGCATTGATGACGGTGTCTCCATGGCCTGCTTCTGCAGCTCTATCAGGCACCTGCACACACTGTCTCCTGCTGAAAAGTGCTGCTTGTGCAGCCCCTCATTTCAGCGTGTTCACCCTGCAGCTGCACGTTTGCTGCCTGTTGGGGTTGGGGAAGGGGGTCAGGTCAGTCCAGGGGCGGGCTGGGGCTCAGGATGCTGGGACCCCAGGGGTCCTTCCCTCTCTTTCTTCCTAAACTACTGCACTCACTTCCTGTCCAAGCACTTCCTCCAGAAAGACCTCCTCCTACCCTTACCCCCACCCCCACAGAGTGTCTCAAGGCTGTACCCCAAAGATAGTACCAGGTCCTCCTTGTGCCTGAGTCTCCCGCCCTTACAGCACCTCGTGCCAACCACAAAAAGGGGATGACCTCATGCCTTACAAGTTAGGCTCTAGCGTGGACCCCGCACAGCTGAATGTGCCGTGTGGTGTGTGATCCCACTGATCCCCAACTCCCCAGCAGAGATCAGCATCCCACTTTCCAAGCATAGGTTGGAAGGCTCAGAGCAGCTGAGCAACAAGCGCACAGCTACCCAGCCCAAGAGAGCCAGGCTCAGCACTCCTTTGCCCACTCACACACCTTGGATGTGTTGGATGTCACCTCGCTCCAGCTGCCCCAGGGCCAGGCCCCGCCCGCCCACCCTGATAATAGACTTTTGGGCTTTCAGTTGCTGGATCTTACCCTACAGGTCCTGTATGATATTAGGGTACTGGGTGATGTGACAGGAAGTTGCTCTGCTTCACCTGCAGGGTGGGGCCAGAGGGAGTGCAGTCACACCAGGAGCTAGGACGGCCTCCATATACTCTCAGACCTTCTATCAGGCAATTTGCATCCCTCTGCCTCTCCCAGGCCTGATGACAGTAAAGTCTCACTGCTTCCTGATCCACTTCTTCCTGTCACATCTAACATGTCCTGTTAGATCTGAAGTCCTAAAGTGCTGCTAGTGCTCATAAACCTTCAGTGGCTCCCTACTGCCTTGATGGAATGACCTACTTCCTTTATCTGGTGCTGAATATTCAGGACTCTGATTTTTTCCTCCTAAACAAATATGCTCTCTAATCACGAAACTGTCCTGCTTGCCTTGTATCTGTCACAGATACTAACTCCTTCTCACCTTTGGAATTTTACCACTTCTTACCTTAGTATTTTCTCCTTATGCTTCACAGTACTTGGGAGGCTGAGGCAGGAGGATGGCAAGTTTGAAGCCAGCTTGGGTAACTTGGCAAGACTTTCTCAAAATAAAAAATAGAAGGGGCTGGAGACATAGTTTGGTGGCAGGCACCTGCCGCTCCTGTGGGAGGCCCTGGGCTCGATCCTCACTACAGGGGGAGGAAAGGTGGGCAGGTACAGTTGAAGAGCACTCAGAAGAGGACTGCACATTTGTGATCAGTTTGTGGCATTTGAATGACCTTTTCTTCTGACCACCCTGCAGGAGCTCTTCGTGGTGGTTAACGGGGCAGTGTGTGTCCCACTCGCTGGGGCTTGGGTGGGTCAGCGGAGGGGTTGAGGCATGATGAGCACGGGTCGGAGACTGTGACTGGTGGGTGTACCGAGGGCTGGCTGGGGACACACAGCGGCTGTCCTGCCCCGCACGGCAGCTTTCTGCTTGCATTCTTCCTCACCCCTGCTCCGTCCCACAGGGCTGGGGGACAGTCTTATCACCGTAGAGGGGCCGAGCCATCACCGCAGTCTGTGGCCCCCACCTGCGAACCCTCCCTCCTACTTTGCTGTCACCACCATCTGTGGCCTTGACCCGATGGCGCTGTCCCTCCTCCCTGTCCCTCAGAGCACCCAGACAGCAAGGACCCTGTCCTCATCCACCGCCGGACACACCCTCCCAAGTCCCCGTTGTTCTTCTTGGGAAATCCTCGCATCTAGGTTGCCAGTGGTTGGGTCAAGTTTTGACAAATGCCGAATCTCAGGAGCACTGGGTCTATGGCTCCGCTGTGCAGGTGTCAATGGCTGGGGTGGGTCAAGAGCCTCCCCAAGCTGAGGAAGGCAGTGTGGCGGTGCTCCCCAAACCTGTGCTCACCAGGAGTGTTTAGTAGTACCAACGTACGGAATTTAGTGGAATGCAGAGAAAGCTCTCAGGCTTGTTTGCCCTGTATCCTGATTTTCCAATGGCTGCTCACTTCTTGCTGTGCTTGAGGCATCTCTCATTAGCTGATCACTAACACAGCCCGCTCTTCCAGGCCTGACACTCAGTGGCTTCTTCTGCTGCCCACACTTTTAGTTGTACCTTGAATCTCCTGGATTTCTGTTTAGAACTCTTTTTGCAAATTCTCGCTCTTTTCTATGCTGGGTGTTTATGTTTTGGATCTTTCTTTAGCTCCACTCAATTTTTATAGGCGTTTTCTCTAGACTAGCTGTTCATTTGTCTCACCAAGGACAAAATATAGCTGTTCGGATACATCATCTCTGGATCTGCTGAGTACCTCATTGAACTGTTTGCTCGCCTCCCTTGATGTCTTTTCCAACATTCTGCTGTGTGGCTTGTTTTCCTCCAGCTCTGTGCCCCCTGGATTGGCCTTTGGGAGTTTTTGAAGGCATTTTGCTGCCTTGTTTTCTCATGTTTCTATTTTTCCTGTTTTCTGTGCCAGGGCCTGCAGCTTCTTTGGCCTAGTCCTCAGTTCTCTGAGAATGGTCCACGGCATTGTTTCTGACCCCCTGGCCTACAGAGAAAACCAACAGACAGCACCAACTATGTCATCTTGGCTGTAGTTGTAAAGTCTTCAGCAACAATGGTGTCAAATCTGAACTGGATCCTAACAAATTCCAAGAACCAGTCATGAACCAACCTTAACAGAGCGAAGAGGTCTGATTTTAGCATAGACACACAGGCCATGCAGATGCTGACCCAAAGTAAATCAGACCATTAGACTGTGCTGCATGGAGGCAGCAGGCCAGACCTCTAGCAGACCACTGAACCAGTGCCCCCTCTTCAGTTCTGCCCTCTGAGGGCTACCCCCGCCAGACCTGGCCCCACCCCTGCATGCAGGCCCCGTGACCCTGCTGGCCCCAGCTTGAGCTTCTCAGGGGCTCTCAGGAGAGTGTTGTGACCAAATGTCACAGCATGCTGTATTTCTATATTACACAGTGCATCAGTGTGAAACCGTGAAATATGGCTCCCGAGAATTCTAAATGAGCCCATGTCTTAGTGAGCTGGTTCCAGTGATACCATCTGTGAGTGGACTAGAACAGTAATCCCCCATCTTACTAGGTTAGAGAGGAAGGTCTGGGCCCCTGTGGGCTCTGGGCATGATGAGCGGGCGCTGTGGTCATAGGCCAGGAAGGGTGGGGAGGGCAGGAGGCTGGGACAGGGTTCCCTGATGTGCAGGGCTGAGTGAACCCTCAGCCACATGGTGCTGAGCCCATAGGGGCTTCCTGATGTCGTGCCTGGCTGCTTTCCCTCAGGGGTTGTTATGGCTTGTGTCTGTCTGGAGGTCTCCCTGAAGCCTCATGCAGTCATGGAGGGA